TGAAAAGTAAATATACTCTCTTGAACTGCCATTTTTCTGTCTCTATATCTGAAGCATGAGCATGAAACTGAGCAAACTCAGGGAGGCAGTGAAGGACAGGAAGGCCTGGCGCAATATGGTTCATGGGGTCACGAAGAGTCGGACACGACTTAACGACTAAACAACAACAAATAGCAACACCAGCTAGTAAACATATCCCTGCTATAGAGCTGTTGTAGAACATTTTCTTGAATTTATTGATACTCCTAGTGCTACAGGAACTACTAATGTGGCAAATGTGCTTCTTAGAAACTGGAAGATAGAGGAATTACAATAGCTGACATAAGAGGTCAGGCCTATGATAAAGGTACCCATACAAGAAGAAAGAATGGAGCAGAGAGTTAAACCCTCAAACTTTTTTTAAACCCTTGTAATTTTCATTCACTGAACTTGCTGGTCAGTGATGTTACGTACCTTTTAGTGAGGCTGCTGAATTTTTAAAAGTAATATAAAGCATCTATGTGTTTTCTGCATTGACTTCTCTATGGCAAATTTTGAAACATCTTGGAACTTCCTCTGTAACATTGAAAGCATGGAGTGCCATTTGATGGGGAAGTCAAGTGGAGTTGATGAAGCTTATCAAACACCAGATTGAGAAGGCAGATGACGCCATAGTTTAAATTATGGAGGATAATCCTTTAACAGGAATATCATCACTCTCTTTTATTGCTCATTCACCATCCCTGTATGTTGAGGTGTCCAACAATGCAACATATCTCCCCAAAGCTCTTCACATTAGCCCTTGAAGAAATTTTCAGAACACTTAACTGGGGAGACAAAGGTATCAACACTGGTGGCAAGAAATTCAACTCCTCAGGTTCACCAATGACATTGTGATCATCAGACACAATTCCAAGAGGAAGTCCCAAGGAAGTGGGCAGGAATCTCAGAGCTGCGAGTTCAGCCACCTCTGTGTTAGATCAATTGCCCTCTGCTGGCCAAGGCTTCCTGGGAGACCACATGTGGTTCAGTCTGAGCATCAGCCCTTGAGAGATGGGTTGGTCCTGTCGACGCTTAAGTAGTGGTCTATCCTTCCTCAGGAAGCCATTGTTAAACCCAACCATTTTGGATCATTTTCATTCTGTTTTCAACCTTCCCTTTTTAGGGCAGATGGTTGAGAAGGAGGTTGCATTGCAGGATCACAGAACCCTGAAGGAAGTGGACCCATTAAAAGTGGACAGCTTTTAAGAGCTGGCTGTTTTCCTGCACATGGGACTTGGGAGGTTTCCCTCGGCTGCCATTTTATGCTTTTTGTTTTGTTGTTATTATTATTTGCTACTTCATTGTTGATTATTGTACTGATATTTTAAATTTTGTTAGCTTCTCAGAGTCATGCTTGTGATATGGGTGGCCATATGAATCTAAAGGGAGGGAGGGAGGGAGGGAAGAAGGAAGGAAGCTGAGCAGTGCTTAAATGAGCTCAATATGGCAAGCAGAGCAATTGGCTTGAAAATCAACAGAAGAGAGACCCAATACCTGTGAAATCAATTCTGCCCATACCATGAAGTGAAACTAGATGATGAGCCAATAGAGGATGTCAGTTCCTACATCTCCCTTGACCAAGAGATCAATGCCACACATGACTGACCAAGAGATATCATGCCAAAGAACAGTGGCATGACTCATAAAACCAATCCTCCAACAAATGAAAAATGCCAAAGCAAGAGCAGACCTTCAATGCTGTAGTCCTATGAGGGATGAGCTGTAGCTGCGGAGTGTGGAGCCTAAAAAAATTGAAAGCAGAGAAGCTTTGAGTAACACAGCAAGTGATGGAAAGGCAAGTACTAAAGATTTCACTTAGAGACCAAATCTAAAAAATAAAAATTCACCACAGAACCAATGTCAAAGTTACCATCAAAGTGGCACAAAAATGAAAATAAAAATAGGCATGCCATGTCATATGCACACAAGACAACTGATGGGCCTGAAAATCAACATATTAGTGGTCCTTCAACTTTAGATGCTCACAACGTTGACCATCTATGAGATGTAATGATGAAATATGGAAAAACCTTGGACCCAACTGGGACACAATAGCACTGGACTGCATAAAATACAAACACCAGATGATATTGTTGCTTTGGGCAGTGAACCTACCTGAATGAATACAACCATCAAAGTAGCAAAGTTCTGGAATGTATCTCTTTCCAAATGCTTTTGTTCCTCTGTACAGACTTCTAAATTTCCTGTAATGATGCCCAGTAGAGAATGCAACTTCTCTAAGTGAAGTTAAACAAAATACTCCATAATGACACAGAAGAGGCAGGATAGTTTTGTATTCATCTCAGTAAAGCATGAGTTGGCCCAGACTGTAGACTTTCAGAAGGCAGTTCAAATCTTTGCAACCAAGAAGTCATGGGAAGCTCCATTTTGATTATTCAAACAGATGAAAATTCTAGTGCTTCATCTGAAAGAAGAAAAAATACAGGAAAAGTTATATTAGCTGTTCAGGCATTTATAAGTTACTTACAATTTTGAACAAGGCACTTTAAGTAGTTCATTCTCCTCTACTGTAGTAGTTGCAGAACAGTACCATGAGAAAAGGAAAACAGGATGAAGGATAATTGAGAATGCCCTAGGTTTTGGCCCAAGCAAGGGGCACAGGGGTGTACTTTGACCAGTTCCCCACCTTAGATGCTAAAATGTTGTGGGCCAGCCTGGCTAAAACAGACCAGCTGCTGTTTGCATTAAGATTCAAAGAGGATAAATAACAGGAGAGAATTACAGAATTGGAGCTGAAATGTAAATAAATATTTATGGTAAGAAAATGTGCAAATAAATGCACAATTTATGTTAGCTAACTTTTTTTCAGTAATTTCCAAAAATGGAATTGTATGTATGTATGTATGTATGTATGTATGTATGTATGTATGTATGTATGTCAATTTATGTAGCCAGAATAGCAGGTCTGTTCAATACTGAAGCCACTTTCTCTAACAATTCTGTAGACATCAGACATCAGCTTTAGAACCAAGGTCAATGTGTGCTGATGGGATGATTCCAGCTATTCCTACCACCAGCATTTCCACTAATTTTATATGACTGATGTTTTTAATGTTTTATTTAAAAAAAGGATTGAAACCTGTCATCTGTACCAATTTATTTGACATATAATTGTTGAATGGCTCTTCAGCTTTCATTAAAACAGAGGTGGGGTGAGGGGGTGAAGAGTCAGAGAGAGTATTCTATAGCAATGATTGATGTAGAAAGTACTAAGACAATCAAGGCTGAGGGCAAAGTTCTTCTATCCCCTGCCGCAGTAATGACACACTCACACACATCCTTAATCAGGGTGACTAATGATATATATACAGACAGACAGACAGACACACACACACTTCAAAATCAATTGGGATTTCTAGGCCTTATGGCACTCTGGATAATGTCACTAAATGTTAAGGGCCTAAAGTCATCTCAGTGTCCCTTGCAACTTGAAGGGGTCTTACCTAAGTATGAATGGAGAGGAGTCCTATGAATGGAGGAGACAGAAGTGTTGTACAGTATAGCTATAGTCTGAATGGGAAGGGGAAAATACATCCCCCCTAAGTATAATGCTTGAGCAGGAGCAGGGAAGGGATATTTCATGCAGCTAAGGAAATGAGAATGGACCCTTCTGTGTTTGGGGAGAAGTGACCAACCCTCCTCTTTCCTTTCTCCCACATAGCCTCATTTGCCAGAGCATGTGGGAGAAGTAGGGAAAAAAGAGTTTGCTGGGACTGTTAAAGTTCTGATGGCTTTTCCTCTTGGGGAGTGGTCTGAATCTGTACCCCAAATTGTCTGAGAGCTCACAGTTCCTCTGGTTTCAAATTCTCACCTCAAGCCTGTTGGATTGCATTTGCCCAGCCTTTGTAATGCAAAGGAAAATATTTCCATTTAGCTTGTGAATTGAAACTTCCGGTCTGGAATTTCCCCATTTTGACAGATTTCAGATATTTGTAATTCGTTTTTATTTCAGCTTGAATGAACCATTAGCATTCTATGAAGGGTGTTGCAACATAAGATTTTCCTTTAGGGGGAAAAAAGTCTTTTTCTTTGGGGAGTGAGTTGGTGAAGCATAGAATCTGGCTAGACCTAACGTTATGCTTCTGAAGTATCATTCCAGAGCTCACCTTTCTCTCTGTTTACCTTCTTCCTCTAGGCCTTTGACCTACTGGTGGAGCCGTGCTCAGTCTCTCCTTTACTGCAGTGAAACCTCTGTGCCAGGGACATTTATTGAAGAAAGCCACAGCTGTATCTGCCCTTATGACCAGCCCTCTTGTCAGGTCACCGTCCCCTGTGCTGTAGGAGAAGGGCCAGAATGTGCTGCCTGTGCAGAAGATAATGTCACTCAGTGTGGATCCTGTAATCCTGGCTATATCCTCACCTTAGGGTTGTGCCGTCCAGAGGTGGCAGAGTCCCTTGAGCATTACTTAGGGCTGGAAACAGACTTGCAGGACTTGGAGCTCAAATATCTTCTGCAAAAGCGGGACAGCCGCATTGAAGTACATTCAATCTTCATCAGCAATGATATGCGCCTGGGGACTTGGTTTGACCCCTCCTGGAGGAAGAGGATGCTGGTAACACTGAAAAGCAACAAATACAAGCCAAATTTGGTCCACCTCATGCTGGCCCTCTCCCTCCAGATCTGCCTCACCAAGAATAGCACCTTGGAACCAGTCATGGCCATCTACGTCAACCCCTTTGGGGGCAGCCATTCAGAGAGCTGGTTTATGCCTACCAATGAGACTGGCTTCCCTGACTGGGAAAGGACTAATGTGGATGCCTCTGGCCAGTGCCAAAATTGGACTCTCACCTTAGGCAGCAAGTGGAAGACCTTTTTTGAAACAGTCCATGTCTACTTGCGGAGCCGCATCAAATCTCTTAATGACAGCTCTAATGAAACCATCTTTTATGAGCCTTTGGAAACGGATCCTTCTAAGAACTTAGGATATATGAGAATCAATAGCTTACAAGTCTTTGGCTATAGCCTGCCATTTGAATCTGATGCAATTCGGGACCTTGTCCTTCAACTAGATTACCCCTACACACAAGGCTCCCAGGATTCTGCTATATTACAACTGATTGAGATCAGGGACCGAGTGAACCGTCTCTCTCCACCTGGGAAAACCCGTTTTGATCTTTTCTCTTGCTTGCTTCGGCATAGGCTCAAACTGGCCAACAATGAAGTAAGTCGGATCCAGTCTACCCTGCAGGCCTTCAATGCCAAGCTGCCAAACCCAGTGGAATATGAGACTGGTAAACTCTGCAGCTAGCCTTAAGAGTGGGTAGGGCTACTCTCGTAACCCTGGAGAGGAAAAGAAACTGCAACTTTCAAAGGCCTTACTTTCATGCCAGCCATTAAATTCTGTGAGACAGCCGACAACCTGCCTATTAGACTCAGGTGACTGCAGGCTCTGTGAACTTGGAATTAAGTGATGGCACAAGTCTCTGGAATAGCTTACCTAAGAAGAGGCCACAATGCAGCGCTAAGAAGAGGCCACAATGCAGAGGCCACAATGCAACTACTCAGACACTGAACAGGTCGTCCTTTTCCCTTTCCTGCAGACCATGTAAGTGGAACATGCAAGAATATGTGAAGGAACCTGTAGACTGGGAAAAAGAAAGTGACTGAAAGCAGCATGACAGGAATGGCAATAAAGACCTTTGCTCTGTGTCTGGCAGTTTTGGCTAGTAAGCCGTTAAACAGATGAAGATGAAGGGTTGGACATGATTCTTGCAAGTGTTTCAAGAAAGCCCAGTTTGGAAAATGCTCTTTAGTCCTTGCTTTCCTTGGTACTATTTACTTTTGTATTATTTTTATGGGTGTTTCTAATGATGGCATGGGCTTGATATTCTCTGTGTTCCCTTCTAAAGCCACCATCCTAAGCACACCTTTATTGCAAGGTAGCTCCATCTCTGTCAGTGTAAAATAAGCCTTTCAAAGAAAGAAGTTTAGGAATCAGGTTTCAACAGCCTCACTATATTGCTGCTTCACTTTTTTGTTTCATTCCAGGAGCTATTACTTTAGGGTGAAAGCCCTTCAGTGGCTAACATCATTTGGGATATGAAAAGTGTGTCTAAATTATCCCTTTCTCCCTCTCCTTACTAGGGAACACATCACACTCTTCTGTCCCTTTTAATCACCAGATTCTGTCAAATGTGACTTTTTCATAAGGAAAAAAAAAAAGGCATCCATCCAGGAAAAGTGATGCAGAGGCAATTGTTGTTAAATATATATTTGGAACTTGTTTGGTTTGGCAAATACATTGTTTCCAAATATATAACAATATATATCTGGAAATATATATTTGGAATGATTGGCCTTTCAAGGATTTACTTACTTACCTACTGATGTATTTGTTTTAATTGATTGGCTTTTTAAAAAGCATTTGACTTTTGCATTTTTAAAAAAAATTGGAGTGGAACATCCCATTTCCAAGTGTGTATTCCTGCACACATCTTAGCCAATTATACGTTTTATCATATTTTATGATGGGTGGGAAAGAGTCTTTTTTTTTTTTTTGAAGAAAAAAGGAAAGCAGTAAACAATCAAAATACTTTACATTATTTCTTTAATAGTCTGTGCAATTTGTGCAATGTGTGAGTGTGTTCTCCATATGTAGGTGCACAGAAGAACTTTGAATCCAGAGAAACAGCTAAATTTACTTCAGCAATAACTTCAGTGATTAAGCACCCCATTCGTGTACTTAATTTCTCCTGAACTTGCAAGGCAGACACAACAGAAGTGAAGTTATTGCTGCAATAAACTACTGTTGTTGGAGTGTGTGAACATGTCCCTACTTAGGTCAGGAAACTGAAAGGCAGTTTTGTGAATAGAATGAAAGTTGCTAACAAGGAAAATACAATATCTTTTTCTTGTATAACCCCCTGTCCTTCTCTTTCTTCAATTTTTGTGGTACTAGATAATAGGGGAGTTGACTTCCCTATAGCCATCCAACAATCTTGTACCAAATCAAAGGAGTTATTGTCCTAGGCAGCTGCCTTATTTCAGTAGTATCACATGTTCTAGGGGTAAGCACAAATCAGGAACATTGACTGTAGGATGTAACTCTCCAGGGTTGGGCACTGAAACTGCTGTGGAAGGCACCTCTCACTCTCTCCTTACCAATCACAAAGAGGTCATAGCTTGTCCTTTATTCTTACCCTACGTCCTCGCCAGTTGCAGTTTTCTGGCTTCCTCTGGGCAGCTTAGCTAACCTGCTTCTAATCAATAGCTGATGTTCACTTGACTTTCCACTCAGTATGTTGCCCAATACTGGACTCATTACATGGGACAGCCATTAGGACCCCTCCTTAATGCCCTTCCCTTCATCCCTGATACCTTTCCTCAAGAGAATAATGTGCCATATGAAAACAGAAAAATCTGATTACTGCTACAGTGATACCATCTCTCTCTAACTACCCCCCCCCCCCCCCACATACATGCTCCCTTGTATGGCCTAGAATAAATTTCCTAGGCTCTTTAGTGTAGCTGATCCTATGTAAACACAAAAGTATTGATGATGGAACCTTAACATCCAGAGACTGGATGCTTCCAGATGAAGCTTTTCTTATGCAATTGTCCTTCATAAAATATGACAAGGGAGTCCAGAATACTATTTCCAGAATATTATTATGTCCCTCTTTGTAACACACACATACACATAGCCATTTTCCTACCGTGTTTTCTCCTGTCTTTTTTCTAATCTAAAAAAAAATAAGGAGGGGAAAACAAAATAGGATGTCTTGCAGAATGCCTTTTGATTGGTAGCACTAAAAGCCGTCTGCCTGGAAGCATCAGTAGCATACACTGAATATCAGATAGAAGAGGTAAGCAAGAAAAGGAAGACTACTGCTTTCATGCCTCACCTGTAATTTTCCCAGCAGTGCCAGAAGACTGTTTAGGAACACACTTTATCTAAAGCCAGCAAGCTGTCCTAATGTTCCGATATCTGGAATATAACTTTATGCGATGAGCTGCTCTTCCTGATCACGGCCTGCCTAAATATCACACTCTGTAGCATTAGGCAGAGTTGAAACCAAGACTCTTCTCAGCTCAATTTGCTTGCTGTAACATAGTACCTCACCTTCTTTGACCTGTAACTTGAGATTTTGGAGGAGATGCTGAAATTAGCAATTAAGCTGTCGTCTTGAAGGATGTTACAGTTTCTAAACATTTTACTGGGGAAGTGTACCTGTAATTTTGCTGTAAATCCCAGTAATTCCCCCCTCTATTTCACATCTGCTACCATGTTTGCATGCCAAGAACAACCCATTAGTGTGACTCTGCCAGGCAGCTGCACACTCTGCTTACATTCTTGTAATACATACTTAGTGCTTGTTCCAACTACGCCCCAGGAGAACTCACCTGCCTGCCATGAAATTGAACACAACACTTTGCTGTGCTGCACTTGGGGAAAAAAAGTCTTGTCTGTGATGTTGATAGAACATGCTTTAGTTAACATTCCAGATTCATCCAGTGGAATCTCAAGGAATCTTACTAGATCAACACAGCCAATACATTTTCTTTAATGTATAAAGCCATCATAATTAAAGCCAACTACTTTGCTCTTCCTGGGAAAACTCTAATGTAAGGGATTGAACAGTCTCTCTGAATAGCTTCCTTGCTGTTCTGATCTTGTAGATTAGAGATACTGAAGTGACAATCCATGGGATTCCTGCATTTCCATCCCAGTCCAACCCAGCTCTCTACCACCTGTATCATCTTGAAAGCACAAAGCACCCTTCTAAGCAGGAAGCAGGAGAGTATCCTCAAGCATTTCCTGCCAGAAAGAATAAGTTCTCAAGCACTTCTGGGTACTGAAATCATGGTTTCACAGGAAACATGCAAGGGGAAAATAGACACCATGGCAGCTGAGCAACTTAACTGGATCCCAGTAACAACACAGAGAATAGTTTCCTGTGTAGATTAGGTGGCAATGGTAATGACCTCAGGATTGTGCCAACATTTCTCATTCCTTAGTAGTCATGATTTCTTTTGGAACATGAACTAATCCCACATGACACACTAAACATACATGCATCACACCCTGACTCTAACTAGCCAGCAACTGGTCTTGATTTGAAAGGTTCAGGCAGAGATTTAGATTGTGCCCTAGCATCCAACTCTGGGCAGAGAAAGAGGAGATATTGCCAGGAGACCAGCCATATCAAACCTCATATAAATAGAGCAGAGTGGGTCAAGTGAACTCTTTTAGAAGCTGCCAGGTCAGGCTTGCAAAGATCTATCTACTGACAAGGACAATCTGATAACAGAGAAAAATACGTTTTGGATGGTCTCACAAGCACAGCAATGTTTTAGGAACAAAGACTGAATATTCTATGTAAATCTGTGTTTTGGGATGTCCCTTCTGTCTCATATTAAATCTTAAGGTGTTTATGGGTAGGTGTTTGTGGTTTCTGCTCCACTGAAAGTGGACTGGGATTTGGTTACTGTTAATATTTGTTTCAACTGGTGCCATATTTATTTTAATCTAAGTTGTCAAGCAACTTGATAATAGACATAATACTACATTAAATTAGTATAACATATCTATGATAAGCCATCACAAAACAGATGTGATGGCCTAGCTGGAATGAGCTGGATTCAAAAGTCCAAAATGTTTCATGTGCCAAAGATCTGGAAAAGAAGCCATTAAATCCCCTACTTAGAACTGCCAAGAGGGTTTGCCTTGGGAAAATGTTCTTCAACTGCAGAGGATTTGTTCAGAATGCAATAGTCCCTCCTCTTTCATGGAAGTCAAGACTCCCTTCAGGAAATATCAATAGCAAAAGCTTTCATCAAGTTGCAATAATTTGTTTTGCTGTGGGAAAGCTCTGTACATATCCTCTATCCTGGTAAGGGATACAACCATTCTGCTTTTGCCAAACTTTGGGAATACAAAAAGCACTGAACAAGTTTCAGAGAGAGAAATTGACCTGAAACAAGAATTCAGGAGCAGATACAAGTACTCTGTTGCCCCTTAGATGTGTTATGGAAATGACGAAATAGAAATTATGAGAGTTGCAAGTTACATCATTTAGAGGATATACAGTCTACAAACTGAAGTAAAGATTTCAGAAGGTGAAGATCAAGTTTCTACAAGAGATGGCATTAATTATACATGAAATCCCATGAATTCAATTTGGATTAGGTTCATTATGAATTATAGCCCCCTTCCACTGGAATTTAAAATTCACTTATAATTGCCATCCTCTGTACCTGATGTACAGAGTACAAAGTACTACAGCTTATTTTTTGCCCCAGAGAGAA